TTAGTTATTCTAAAGATTTATCTATGTCGCAACTAGGCAGTGGTATGCCATGCATTCGTGTCTTGGAGGACCAACCACATGGGGCAACAGCAGCCGCTAATGATAGAAAAGTATTTGGAATGCGTGTACAACACTTGTCGGCATCGCTGTGACCAAATGGAGGCTCACATACATACACACACTCACACTCGCACTCGCACACACGCACAACTGATCAGGTGGTTGAGCAGATGCCGCGCTAAGAAATCTTTGTTGTTTTTGTTTGGTTTTTTGTTGTTGTTGCGATAAGAATTAATAAGAATTCGCTGCGGCAGTGGGGTAGACGAGAGGAGGCGTGGCATGTTTGGGGATAATTTTATTAACTGGAAATCGCACTTGTGCGTAAATTTTCTTAAGGAAATTTTTACCTTATTTAGCAGCAACCGGATCTCCATGTACAATAAGTTATGAAAATTGCAAAACAACTAACGCGGCCAGACGGAGCTAAACAACTAGAGCTGTAGACGGAAACGGAGAAGACGAAGTGGTGTAGGTAGAGTGAGCGGGAGACGGGAGTGAAGATGGAACGTCGAACCCGCCTGTCGCCGATGATGAATTCCACAAATACACGAGCGACATCAGTTGGCTGGCCGGCTGCGGCAGATTCCTTGAAAACAAAGCCGATGCCTATGCAACAGATATATATGTATATATACATACTGATATATATATGTATATATATATAGATATGTATATGTATCGTGCGGCTAATAAATACGACGCGCATTGCTAGTTGCTCTTAATGAAATTAACTTCCAGGAATTGCCTACATGGCCAAGCACCTCCCGCCAGCTAAACAATGCCCAGCAGCTGCAGCTGCACTCGCCGCTTCTTAGTCAGAGCTGCTGAGTCGAACTGGGAGTTGGGGAGAGAGAGAGGGAGAGAGAGAGAGAGAGTGGTGCACAGTTTATGCATTTGCCAGCCATTGGCCATGGAAATTAAATGGAAGCCTGCAAAAACGTTTCACGCGATGACTTCACACCAATAATAGAGACGTACTATGTAGCTGCCGCTGGTGGTGCTGCTGCCGCTGCTGCTGCACCCACCAAGCGGGCAACTCAAGTGTGACATTCATGGAAAACAGAGTGGAAATATGATTTTATGGGCCTGTCGTTTGCTTAGAATATGTCAACGGCTGGACCAACGCCTTTTGTTTGCGTCACGTACCATGCAAAATGTGCGAATGCATGCTGCAAAGAATTGAAACTGGGAAAGGAGTCGCTCGGTCGGTCGGCTGGGCATCTTCTGCATGCATTCTACTATAGCTGAGCTCAACTCGAGCAATGACTTCCTCGTTGGGCCAATTAAAGTTGTTGTCGCTGCGCACAAAAAATCATTTGTAAATGCAACGTTTGGAATAATTCACGCGCAAATTGCTCTACTCGCAAAAATATTGCAACATTCCACAGCAAATTTTACGATTATGCGTTTCGACAGCCACCAGCAACAACAACAGCAACGTTGGCGACAACTGGCAACGGGCAACTTGGCAACTTGGCAACTTGGTAACTGGGCAACTTGGCAACATTCGTAGGCGCACATCAAATCAAATCAAATTGTAAGCAACGCGCCTCGGCCATTGCACCTAGCCTTCAGGCTGCTGCTGCTGCTGCGGTTGCTGCTGTTGCTGTTGCTGTTGCTGCCTTGGTCCATTGCTGCATTGCGCTCTGCGTCGCCGTTGCTCCACATCAATAAATCAGCCAGCTAATTGTTCAACTGACTCCTTGGCGAAATGTGAGAGAATCGAGCGTGCAACCGCTTTGAACTCTGTCTGCCCAAAAAATGTGAATTGTTTAGCAGCCAGCATATGCGAGACATACGATATGCGCTAGGCCTTAACTATTGGCCATAAATTACAAACTTACATGCGGCGTAGCTAATGCTAGAAATATGTAATTTTAATGTTCAAACTGAAGAGCTAACCAGGCCTAAGTCAGCAATAAGCCCAGCTATATGCATGTATGTTTTTCATAAACATGTCAAACTCTTTGCTTAAGTAGATGAAACTTATGAGCAAAAGCTTATTATATACACTGTTTGGTGTGAGCATGAGCGGGTATATTGGGTGTGTGGTGAATGAGAGAGAGAGAGAGAGTGAGAGGGAGTATATGGAATAATGTGTGAATGAGAGAAGAGCGTTGTGAACTATTTAAAATTCCTTTTTAATAACTTTTGTCGATTGCTATGCTTTCCCACGGCATATAATTGGCGCATTGGCAACAAGTGTATTTACTAAATACATACATACTAGACATACAGACATTGGAAATGAATCAAATAAATAAATAGCAATTTCATTCTTGAACAATAGTCATTCAGACTTTGCTCTATATAGATCTTACATATCAACTAAGTTTAATACGTGTAACATCTACTATTTTTATATTTATTGAAATTTGCATGTGACAGATTTTTTTTTCTGGTGTAAATCTAACTAAATCAACTTCATAAAACTAACTATAGAGCATATGGCAGTCGCTAAACTCACTCACATTAACTTTCTTTCAGCAATAATTTAAAATTTGAATAAAATCTGTTAAAAACTAACATAAATAAACGCCTTTAAAATACAAATAAATATCAGATTCACATAAATACAGATTGTTGAAAAAAAATTCAAGCAAAATAAAAAAAGGGGTAAAATTAAAAAAAAAAAAATTGCAGAGTTTTCTATGCATAGAATAAAATATATATGAAAATAAAATAATACATGTACATATATATAGTTTTTTTTTCTCTATTTCTCTTATCCAATTCTTTGCTTGTATTTTCGAGAATAATCTCAATTTTTCAAAGAACTAAAGCCCCAGTCAAAGGCCAAAGAAGTGCAATCGATTTGTCTGAACAGCTGAGCCGCGACTTATAATGGAATTAGATATACTAAATAATCAGCATAATTAATCGCTGGAGATGCTCAAGTTTTGCAAAAAAGCTCAAAGCCTAAGTGGACAGGCAGGCAGATAAAAAATCGAAGAGTTTCGATTTAAACAATTTAATTCTATAAATAATGATAGGCTGTCCATAAACAGACAACTTGACTGTTGCTCGCTATATAAATAGGCATATCTCTATATATATGTGTGTATGTGTGTGTGCGTGTGTGTGTTTTTATGTATATTTATATATGTATATTTGCGCTGACTACTCGTTGTCAAGTTGTGGTCCACAGCGACCAATCAGTGTCAGCCGAAAGTGTCTCTTTTAGTGGACTAAGTGATGAGCTAATCAAGTGGCCGCCGGCTGACCCGGCTGACTGTGCGGCGTTCGAGATATGTATGTGGAGATGCGAGATTCGAGTTTTTGGGCTTCGAGAGTCCCAAATCACAATCGTGTGTCTATTTTAATAACATTATTTATGTGCTTGTATTTCGATTTTTGTTGTTGYTGCTGCCTGGGCCTAAGCAGAGTGAGGAGAGTGAGAGAGAGAGGGGGCGTGGAAGGGGGAGCTGTACGGGGACGAGTTTGTATACTTATTGTAATTTGAAATTTTTGGTGTTTTAGGTGTCAATCGCATTAGACGGAAATCAGTTTTGTTTTATTGTACAAATTTATCGCGTTGAGCGTCTTATTGGCTTTTTTTTTTGTTTTTGTTTTTGTTTTTTGTGTTATGTTTTCTGTTCGATTGTTATTGTTTTTTTGTTAGTCTTTTATTCCATTTTCCTGTTGTTTTTCAGCTCTCAGTAATGTGCTTGTTTATGTGTTTCTGTTGCCGTAAATGTGACTCTCGGCTGTCGCCGTGCGTTGATTTTATGTTAAATTAAACATTTTAAGCGACGCTTTTAAATTGACTACGAGATAATTTGTGAGCCGTGTGTGGTCTGCGTGTTGTGTGTGTGTGTGTGTGTGTGAGGGCATCAAATAAATTATAAACTAATTTAAATTAAATCGAATGGCCTATCCAGTGTAACATGAGCTGGCTGCAGCACAAACGCGTTCGTTGCCTAAGTCTTTTATTAGCTATTGCACCAAATACATACACACATGTGTATATGTATATGTATATGCGTGCATCTGTTAATTTTTCATAATTAATTTTTATGCCCCGCCCCATCGCAATTAGGCGGCCAGCTACGTGCAGCAAATTGCCGCATGCAAATGAAATCAAGTCATGCCTATAATCGGATTTGTTGCTCCTCGTATATTAACTTGTCACAGTTTCTATGTGTTGAACATAAACACAATTTGCGCTTAATCCGGCACAGAGCCTCTGCCGGCAACAGTTGCTGCTGCTGCTACGGTTGCTGTTGCCGTTGCTGCTGCTCCTGCTGCATGCAGCATCAGCTCAGCTGCTGTCACTTGTCGCTATCAATTATGACATTTTGTTGCTGTTTTGTCACTTGTGCCACTTGGCTTTGCCACATCTACTGCTGCTGCTGCTGCTGCCGTTGCTGCTGCTGCTGCTGTTGGGGCCGTTTGATGTGGTTCGGGTGTTGGCGATTGAATTACTTTAACCGCAATTGCGGCTCATATCAGCTGGCAATCAATCAAAGCTAAGTGCGCTCTGTCAATTCTCGGTTTTCACAATTGAAATGAGGCCTAAACTGACGCCGCCCTCTTCCCCCACACACTTCCCCTTTTCCACTCTCCCCTTCCTGAGTCTGAACAGCTGTTGCGGCACACATGGCGTATGAGTAATTCGGCCCCGTTTTGCGCTTATCGCAATTATTTACGTTTGACGCCCGGCATCAGGAAACGGTGTGGCATATGCCTTTGCCTCTATACGCCCCGATTAATAATAATAAACTTGAGTGCGCTTAAACAAATTGCAGCTACTTTAGAATTATTTATGACAAAATTGACCAAAGCAATATCGATTGCCGGCCGGCCGGCTGGCTAGCTGGCTTGCCCCACTGTGCTGCAGCTGCGCCGTGCTGTGCTGTGCTGTGCTGTGCTGTGCTGCACACTCCAAAATCTAGATTATAAACTTGGCTAATGCACATGCACATGCACATGCACCCACGAGTGGCTTTGGCTTATGCATGCGGACACAGATTTCGACAGTTGCGTTAGCTCTTTTTTTTTTTTTACCGATTTTCTGCTCATTTAGCGCCCGACGGCGGGCGGGGCTGGGGGTGTGGCCGCAAATTAGGCGCGAAAATATGCAGCAAAGTGAGACAAACAAGCGAGCCGCTAAAATGCACAAAAAAGAAGAAATACATGAAAAATAAAAACTTGCCGCTGGTCAGCTAATGGTGTTAAAATTTTGTGCCAGCGATTGCATCTATGGCTATACAAATTGCAGCGACTGCACAAAATCGACAACAGCAACAGCACTTGAGCAACATGGCAGTAGCAACAGCAACAACAGCAACAACAGCAGCAACAGCAGCAACAGCAACAACATGAGCATCAGGGGCAGCAACACGGGGCAGCAGCTGTTGCTCAGCGTTGGCTCGTTTTGTCAACACGGCAAATGCTTAGCCGCGTTTTCCCAGGGGACACTTAACGCGGCTGCTTAACGTCTAAATCTGTCGTCAAGACGCGCTCAAAAGGCTAAAATGTTTGCGTTAACCAGCGACGCAAAGATGGAGCTGCTGGAGGTGACGCGCTTGCTCGCAGGCCAAGACCAAGCGGGGAGTGGGGTGCCGGGGGGCCAAGTGGCCAAGTGGCCAAGAAGGCACCAACAGCAGCAGCAACAACAACAATTTGTATGCAACTTTATTTTTCGTTGTCGTCGTCGTCGTCGACGCTCAAGTTGACCAGTTGAGATTTCCTTTTACCCCAGCGCCTGGGTTGTTACTGTTGTTGGCCGTGTTGGCTGGCTGGGCCTGGGCTGCTTTCTGCCTTGTCTTTGGCTTGAAGTGCGTTGAACGAGTTAAAGTCAAAGCTGCAGCAAAATTTATGAACCGTCCCAGTTCGGCCATGGCCATGGACAAATAAGAAGCCCGACGACGGCCAACGAGAACGCGTGTAAACATTCTCCAAGTACACAAGGCGCAACGGCCAGCGACGGCAAACGAGGCATTGGGAAGGTGGCCGAGGCATCTATCGCTCCCTCGCTCCCTCGCTCCCTCTCTATCTCTCTCTCGCTCGCTCACTCTAAATGTTGCCACGGAATTTATATGCAACATAATCAGCATAAATGCCGCCATGCGCCATCAAAATGTTGCGACGGCAACGCGCTCAGTTCGCAGCATTTGCCATCACTTGGGTGGGTGCCATTGGCAAACAAGTATCCGTTGTCGCTTCTTCTTCTACTGCCTCTACCTCTTCCTCTTGTTCTTCTTGTGCCTTGTCGCTGTGCCTTTTGGTCGCCTGGGCTAATTCAAGCAATTTGCAAATTGAGAAATTGCAAATAATTTACAATTTAGCCAAGTTCTTCGAAATACTCGCGAGTGTTAAGTGCTACACATAAAATGCTGCCCTAATGATGAAAAGTGAATGTTGCCTGAATGCTCGATCTCCGACTGCAGCTAGCATGCAGCTGTTATCGCATGTCGTATGCATTGAGAACTTTCTTTCAATCTCGGCGGCAATTAAAGCTGTTGACATGTTTTATTTGACATTTGTTGGTCAGCCAAGGCGCGCTATGGGAAGCACCTTTCTATTCGATTCTCATGAGCTAAATAATTCAGCTCAATTCCAAACTCTCGTCTGTGATCTATTTTACGCTTGATATTTTCTCTCAACTTTCGTGTCCTTTATTATGCTCTTGTCATTTTCTTTGAGAGTTGGCAATGGGAGAGATTTAGAAAGAAAGATCGACGAAGAGAGAGAGAGATAGGAAAAATATAGATTTTAAAAGCGATAGATACGGAGTTATAGAAAGGAAGAGAGATAATGATGAGAGAGAGAGAGAGAGAGAGAGATAGAGAGAGAGAGAGAGACGACATACAAATATTGAAGGAAAAAGGAAAGGAAGATAGTTAAAGTCGCAAAGGAGAAGCACTATAACTAAATTAATCATTTAAATTTATATTTATATTATATAATAAACAATTTTTGTTTAGTGATTTTTGTATTTAACTCGAGCTCTCCAAGAAGGTCGCGCTCGACAAACAAAATACAGCTCTCAAATACAACAATAAACGCGTCTAAACAGTAAACCAGGCAAAAGAAACAGTTAGCAACAAAGGTGACCTTAAAAAATATATATACATATGTATGTACATATACATATATGTATGTATGTATGTGTATCAAACAGTATTTAGATACTGCAAAGCAAAACTAGGCAAATTGAAACTCGATAGGGAAAAAGTTGCGGACAACAACAGCAGCAACAACAACAACAACAACGAGAAGAATAAAAGGCTACAAGAAAGCTCAGTGGATTGCTTTTGCGCTCCACTGCCGCCCACTTTCTTTTCGGTTTAATATAGCAGGAATTTGAATAGTAAAAGCCGCAATATGACAAACAACAACAACAACAATAGCAATAACTATAAACAACAATGCAACTCTATGCAGCTAACTACGAAACGCATCTCGAATCACTGACTCTTTGCGGTTTTAGCCCCCGTGGGCAGTTAGGGTGAAAGGCAAAGCAACAGCAGCAACTGCAACAGCAACAGCAACAGCAACAGCAGCCGCAGCAGTCAGCCAAATGAGACAGCAACGAGTTAATTAAGTTTGCAGTGAAAACTGTCTTAAATTACACACACTGAGCAACAGCAGCAGCAGCAACCGGCAGCAGCGACAGGCAGCTGGCAGCCAAAAATCTCAGAGAGTCCAAAGAGTCCCCGAGTTCCTGACAAACTGAGCCGCAATTGTGCCAACTTCTGTGACAGTTGCCCAAAACAAATTGCTGCCATTTAATGCGTCCCAAAAAAACCAACAACAACAACAACAATATATATATGTATAAAATGCCAAAGCGCTGCAGAAGCTCCGAGCTCGCAGACGCGCAGATCACAGTACTCCCGGCCCTTAGTCCGCCTTCTTCTGCTGGCTATGACAAATTCCTTCAAGTTGTTACCATATAAATTTCTGCATTTTTCGCTTTGCTTTTATTTGAGCACAGCCACTGTAACTGAGTCATGCAGCCAAATATATATTGATCGCAGCACCATCATCATCATCATCATCATCATCATCATCATCGTCATCTTCGCCATCAGCTGCAAATTTTTGGCTGTCTGCATGGACTGGTAATTAGGCGCATTACATGTGCTTGAGCGCTTCGTTTTTCGAGTCTCGCTGAGGTAGCTTTTATGTAAATGAGTTTTGTTTTTGGTTCTGTTGTTGTTGTTGTTTATTTTTATTTTTTTTGCAACTGTGTTCTTTATTAAGACAAATGACAGTCACGCCCAGCTCTAAGCGCAAAGTAAACACTTGCCAAATGACCATAATTATGAGTCGACCGGACAGACATGCAGACATGCACATATATATATA